CTTTCTCTACTACTAGGTGTCAGCCTAACTTTCACATGGGCAATGGATTAACCTGCTCTTCAGGGACTAGCAGTACCACCTGACTCTCCCAGCCCTCTTCAGGTGTATCCAGTTCCTCATTACTGAGGGAGACTTAGAGGCCCTGGAGTCTTTCCCCTCAGCTGTTTCCATATGCACCCACCCACTCATTCCTTCCCAGGCATCCAGGATCCTACAGCATTTTCATGTAGGCCCAGAGTCCTCCACAAACAGTCCCCTCCACACTGTGTATCTCCCTCTGTCCTCAGAGTCTTTCCCAATTCCCCATAGCCTGGGATTCTATCCTTGGAGCCTGAGATAGGATTCCCCATAGGAACACCAGACACCTGGAAGAGCAGAGGCATTAAGGGCTCAGCCTGCAGAAGAAGAAAGAACACATTGTCCTCTCCATCACCCCGGAAGAGAATGCCTATGCAGTTGCTTATTTCTAGGGTGCAGAGACACACAAACACACAGGAAACATACATATTCCACAAGCACAGAAACACACAGGTACAGAACACCCCGGCATCACATCACAGTTCATAATCTGAGCCTCATCAAACATCCCCCACTCCTCCTGAGAGAAGACAATGGCCGCAACTTCAAAGTTCATATCCTGTCATGAAGGGGAAAGCTCAATCCATGATCAGCTTCTTTCCTAAGATCCCAAGTGTGTAATATCTCTGGCCCTCCACATCCGTCTACTGCCTCTGCTCCCACATTGGAGACGATAGCAGGCCTTGGTCCCATGAAAGTCACTTGCATCTTAAATTCCAATTGATATTTTGTCTTCCCATAACAATAAAGGCAGTTGAGCAGAGAGATTACCTGAGCTCTGGGCCTGACATGTAGACTACAGTGCCTCTTGTCAATAGAGTGGGTGTCAAGAACATAGGGTAAGGAGAGATATTGGCCATAAAGGGACTGTGGGTGATTGACACTGGTTATGTCAGGCAGTCCCCCAGAAGATCTCTCCAAAGACACCAAAAATACGGCATCACACTTCACTCTTACAATCCCAAACCCAGGATGCTAAGGCCATTACTTTGCACTACCTGATGCACATAGTTCTTTGAACAATACTTCTCTCACACAGCTTCCTTCCCACAGGGACACCTTCAAAGATAACACAAATTTTCCGTGGCGAGGACAGCTTGTTTCCTAATCACCTTCTTTTTCAAAATTGAAGTTCACCTCCTCCATAATGTTTCTCTTTTCCCCTTCTCCCTTATGCATGCCAGTGAAGATTTTTAAGCCCGGGTAACACTGATGTATGCTATCTCATTCCTATGGGTCACTGTGCCAGTCATCACAACAAATGGAAGGTGGGCAGATAAATGGCTACGACCTGGTAGTTGCACCACAACACCTCCCTTTTCAGGAAATTAGCCTAAAATTCCCCTTACTGCCCTAATTGGCTTGGCTCAGTGGATAGAGCATCAGCCTACAGACTGAAGGATCCCAGGTTCAATTCTGGTCAAGGGCCTGTACCTTGATTGCAGGCACATTTCCATTGGGGGGGGGGGGGGGGTGTAGAAGGCAGCTGACCGGTTTCTCTCTCATCAATGTTTCTAACTATCCTTTTCCCTTTTTCTCTTTAAAAAAAAAAAAAAGGAATAAAATATATATTTTAAATAAATTAATTAAAATTCCCCTTATTGTATCACCCAGACCTTACCAGAAATTGGTTCATCCTTCATTCATTCTTCTGTCAATGTCAGGACCATGGCCATGAATTCACACTCCCTCTCCATGTGCACATACTCTTTCTCCCACACCTCTCTCATTCCTGCACTCCCACTGCCCAGCTCCCATAGGCATGTCCTTGGCCTCTTACTCATTCCTCAGCAGGTACGGTCCAGAGAATGCTTGCCAAATTCAAACAGGATCAAGTCCTGCCCAGACTCTGAGAGTCTACACTCCTAGTGACAGTTTTGGTCCTGCTATGAAGGCTTCTCTCCATGACCATTTTTTTCCTTCAACCTCACCTACTGAGAACCACATCAGATCTCAGACATCCAGAGCGCCCTCCCCTGGTGCTGCACTTGATGCCCCTTCACCAGGCACAGCCACCCTCTCTCCACGTACCCGTCACTCAAGTCCCAGCCCCAGTGGCCCTCTGCACCAAGCCCAGTGCATCTCACAGGTGACCACTCAGGCCTCTAAGCTAACCCACAAGACTGACTGCCACCCCCCGGCCACACCAAGGGTCACCACAAACCCTGGTGTTAAGAGAGGTAACTATGTACCAGCCTTAGTCTCCTCTTGTGTGAGTTGCTCTTTGGTCTCCAATTCATCTCATGTCCACTCATCTTTTAAAGGCCTTGGCTGCTGGGAAACCATTATCTCCTCAACACTCTACATGACCACTTCTGTCCCTGTGCTGTGCTGTGACACTCACCTCCCTCAAACAGGGGCCCCAGCAGAAAACCAGTCCTCAGGCTCACACTGTCCCATGTGAGCTATTAAGGCCATTACCATCCTGACCATGATTCCCAGTATTAATTGTGATTCCCTAATGTAACCTGACGTGACTCAGTTGATTGAGCATCAACCCATGCACTCAGAGGTCGCAGTTACACACCAGTCCCAGTCAGGTCCCCGGCCTGGGGTGGGGACTGGATTCCTGTAGTGGTCATGCAGGAGGGAACTGATCCTTGTTTCTTCCTCATAGATGTTTCTCTCTCTCCCTCTCCCTTTCTACATCTAAAATCAGAATAAAAGTATATATAGATTTTTTTTTAACTTTATTACTTTTAAGTATTTTATTTATTTTATTGATTTCATAGAGAAAAGGAGAGGAAGAGTTAGAAACATCAATGATAAGAATGACTGATAGGCTGCCTTCTGAAAGCCTCTACTGTGGGATGAGTCCCCACCCGGGGCGTGTGCCCTTGACCAGAATCAAACCTGGGACCCTTCAGTCTGCAGGCCGATGCTATAGCCACTGAACCAAACCAGCTAGGGACAATATTTTAAGTACACCTGCCAGTTGCTGAGCCAGCTTAGTCATCACCCCCAACCTCTGCACATCCTGGTACCTTCTCCTGAGAGGACCACCCTCCACATCTCACCCACCCGTGCCCAAACCAGGGTCCACTTCCTACAGCCCTCGCCGAGGCCTCAGGTCCCTGGGCTGAGGGTCTGCAGGTCCCGGGGCAGGAGCGGCTGGACAGCCCGGGCCCCACAGCCTGAGGCCCCCACAGCGGGAGGCCCTGACCTCAGCCCACAGCCCGGCCCCTGAGCGGCTCTGGCCGCAGGGCCTGTGGGAGCTGAAGGCGCTAAGGGCCCGGCTCCGCCGCCAGGACCCGGGGCCCAGGCTGCTCGGGGCCCGGCCCAGCCCCGGAGCCGCCGCCCCTCGGGCTCCGTCCCTCCGTGCGCACAGCCAGCCCGGCCCTGAGGACAGGCCTCCTCCCGGAAGCCCTCCGGCCCCTCAGACACACAGGCCGGCCCCTCCCTCCGCCCGCGGCCCCCGGGCCCAGCCCGCCCCCTGCGGCCCCCACGGGCACTCACTGCTCCGGGCGGCGGCCTGGGCGGGGAGGGCCGCTGGGGCCGTGGAGGGCGCTCTGTCCGCGGGGGAGGAGGGGGCACGGGGACCCCAGTCCCGCCGGGTGGGGGTCCGCCCCCTCAGAGACACCCCCGCGCAGAGAGGACGCCGCCTCCCACGCGTCTCCAACGTGGAACCTACTCCCGAACGATACGCTGAAGCGCGTGAATCCAGGGAACAGAAGGATTCAAAATGTCCGCCGGGAGGAGGATGCCGGAAGTCCCGGCCTAACCGGATGCGAAGGCACCATAATTCCCTTTACCTCCGCCTACGCAAGCGCAATGCTTTCTGGGTAATGTAGTTTTCTCCACCGTCCAGGGGAGAGTTTGCAGTCCAGCTAATTACCCGTGAATAAAGGTGTAGCGGTACCCCAAATAGCCCTGCGGAAGGACAAGAAGAACAAGAGCGTGGTTAACTGGGACAGATGGACAGACCTCCCAGGGGAAGAGGTGAGGAAGACGAGGAAGACGGGAGGAGACCCAACAAAGACTATATACACGGGGGGGGGGGGGGGGGGGGGGTTGGGAGGCATCCGTAACTATCAACAACAACAAAAAAATACATATTTTTAATGTTTAAAAATTAATATAAAAATGAAAAACAATTAATATAGCCCATCTGATGTTGCTCAACGGTTGAGCATCAACCTCTGAACCAGGTCATGGTAATATTCCTAGTCAGGGCACATTGTCTGCGTTGTGGGCTTAATCCCTAGAGATTCTCTCTCATCATTGATTTTTTTTTCTCTCATCCTCCCTGTCCTTTGCTCTCTCTAAAATCAATGAATGTATATTTTAGAAGTATATACATATATGCATACCCCGTGGACATAGACAGTAATGAGGTGAGGGCCTAGAAGTGGTTGGGCAGCATAGAGGGAAGCAAAGGGAACTGGAGAAGGGGCATGGAGACATCTGTGCTAGAGTCAACAATTAATGAGAATCGTGTGACTACCCTGGGTGGCTCAGTGGTTGGAGGAGAACCCATGAACCAAGAGATGGATGGTTAGATTCCTGCTCAGAGCACATGCCCAGGTTGGGGAACTATTAGATCCCAGTAGGGGGCATTTCTTTTTTTCCATTTTTTGAATACAGGCATTATTTGTGTACAGCTTACCATTGCCCCTACCTGCCTTTACCCTGGGAGCTGATTTCCGCACCCCCTCAGACAACACTTCTGGATTTTAAGAAATAAACAACACACGTTCATCTACTCAACAACGATTTATTGGTCATGGGAACCGTATCAGACACTTTCCAGAGCACATGCCCCTTTGAGGGGTTGGGGGCTTGATCCCCAGTGGGGAGCCGTGCAGGAGGCAGCTGATCCATGATCCTCTCTGCTCACTGACGTTTCTCTAACACAATAAATATATCTACACACATATATTTACAGGGAGGAAGCACGGGGCTTGGTGTCCTGGGGGGGAGGCTCAGGGCATGGAGTCTCCGAATTTGGAGGCCCCGGATGTGCGGGATGCGGAGGCCCCGGATACAGAGGCCCCGGATGTGGGGGATGCGGAGGCCCCGGATGTAGAGGCCCCAGATGCGGAGGCCCCGGATGTAGAGGCCCCAGATGCGGAGGCCCTGGATGTAGAGGCCCCGGATGCCGAGGCCCCGGATGCCGAGGCCCCGGATGCAGAGTCCCTCCTCTGGTGCATGCGCAGGTGGCGGTGGTAGGTGGAGGACTGGCGGTAGGTCTTCCTGCACCGAGGGCACTCGTAGGGCCTGGCGCCCGAGTGGATGCGCTCGTGGGCCACCAGGTTGGTCTTGTGGCTGAAGGGCCAGCCGCACTTCTGGCAGTGGAATCGCTTCTCCTTCTTGTGGGTCCGCAGGTGCACGTTCAGTTCCGAGGCCTGGAAGAAGCCCTTGTTGCATTCGGCACAGACGAAGGGCCGCTCGTTGTTGTGTCTCCTCTCGTGGAGCCGGAAACGGCATAAGTACTTGAAGACCTTGGGACACCGGTTACACGAGTATAGCTTCCGGGTGGTGCCCGGGCTTCCGCCCTCCGGCTTCCGGTTCTCCTTCAGGGTCTCCTCCATGGTCTCCTCCCTGGTGTCCTCCCTGGTCTCCTCCAGGATCTCCAGGGTCTCCTCCAGGATCTCCTCCCTGGTCTCCTCCAGGATCTCCTCCCTGGTCTCCTCCGGGGTCTCCTCCAGGGTCTCCTCTTGGGCAGAGGCGCCCGGACTGGCTGCCCTGGGGCTGCGTGGACTCTCCCAGGACACGGCGCCCTCTGTGGGCCCCGGGAGGCTCTCTCCCTGGAGGATGAGCAGGGAGGGGGGTCGGTGGTCTTCCCTGGAAAGGTTGCCGCCCTGTTCCCCTGCGTGTCCTGTGGAAACAAAGGGTGTCCGTGAGTCTGCGCCCACACCCTTGGCTCAGGGGATCCAGTGTCGGCCTGCAGACCAAAGGGTCCTGGGTTCCATCCCAGCAAAGAGCACATTTGGGATAGTGGGCTCAATCCCCGATCAATGATTCTATTTTTATTTTTTTTTAACAAGTTCCACAGGTCAGTTATTTATTTATTTATTTGTTTATTTATTTATAGGTGTTTTTTTTTTTTACAGAGAGAAAGGGAGAGAGATACAGAGTCAGAAACACCAATGAGCCATAACTGGTTTGGCTCAGTGGATAGAGCATTGGCTTGTGGACTGAAAGGTCCCAGGTTCGATTCTGGTCAAGGGGATGTACCTTGTACCTTGGTTGCATGAGGCAGTTGATCAATGTTTCTCTCTCACCTGATGTTTCTAACTCTCTGTTCCTCTCCCTTCCTCTCTATCCACTGAGCCAAACTGGTTTCGGCAATTATTCTATTTAAATATATATTTACTGATTCAGAGAGGAAGGGAGAGGAAAAGAGAGATAGTAACATCAATGGTGATTTAGAAACATAGATTGGCTGCCTCCCGCATGCCCCCTACTGGGGACTGAGCCCACAAACAGTCATGTGCCCTTGACCTGAATTACCTGGGACCTTCTGTCTGCAGGTTGAGGCTTTAACCACTCAGTAAAACCAGCTAGAACCTGAGTCAATGATTCTTTGCCATCATTTATGTTTCTATCCCTCTCTTACTCTCCCTTTCTCTCTGAAATCAATTGAAAATTTTTCTTAAAAAAAGATCCACTTTAAAAGAAAAACAAAACAAAACAACCCTACCTGGTTTGGGTTCCAGTCAAGGGAAAGTTCCTGGGTTGCAGGCTCCTACCCAGCCCAGGCCCTGGTCAGGGGTGGTGCTGGAGGCAACCAATGATGTCTTTCCCTCACATCCATGTCTCTTCCTGTCTCTCCCTCTCCCTTCCACTCTCTATAAAAACGAATTGAAGCCGAAACCAGTTTGGCTCAATGGATAGAGCGTCGGCTTGGGGACTGAAGGGTCCCGGGTTCAATTCCGGTCAAGAGCATGTACATTGGTTGTGGGCACATCTCCAGTGGGGGGTGTGCAAGAGGCAGCTGATCAATGTTTCTAACTCTCTATCCCTCTCTCTTCCTCTCCGTAAAAAATCAATAAAGTATTATTTTTAAAAAAAGAAATAAAACTTTTCAATAATAAAAATAAAAACAAAATAATCTAAATATGAGAAACTGCACCCAAGACAGAGTGCACACAGACCAGCCCTCCCACAACCCAGGCCCTCTCGCTCACCTGGTGCTGTCGGCCGTGGTGTGTCTGGGGGATTCTGGGAGGGAGTCCCGGGGGTGAGCGCTGTGGGGGCCGCTGCTGAGTGCTGCTCCAGGAAGTAGGCCATGACCTGTCCTATGGGCGTGTTCTCCGAAAACAGGGCTTCCTGCCCCCACATTTGGACGTGGACCTGTGAACACAGCCTGGTCACTGTCAGTGCCGCATGCCCACTGCCACGGAACCCTGGGTGGGAACCCTCCCGGAACCCTCTCCCCTCCCCTCCAGCTTTCCCACAACCCCTCATGGCCTGCTCCCCAGCCCAGCATGGTCCTGCCCTTTCTGAGGGAGGAAGTGGCTCTCCTTCAGTTATTTCTGCTCCATCATAAATGTATTTTATTTGTTTGTTTTTATTTTTTTAACCCTCACCCGAGGATATTATCCCATTGATTTTTAGGGAGAGTGGATGCCGGGCCTGGCATGGCTCCGTGGCTGAGCATTGATTGACCTTTGAACCAGTTCGACTCCCAGTCAGGGCACATGCCCCGGTCGCAGGCTCCATCCCCCGTAGGGCACGTTCAAGAGGCAGCTGATGGGATGACTCTCAGCATTGAGGTTTCTATCTCTCCCTTCCTCTCCCTTCCTCTCTGAAATGAATAATAACTATTCCAAATAAAAATGGCAACTGGCCACGGTGATTCAGTTGTTGAGCGTCAACACATGAGCCAGGTTATGGTACTCTTCCCAGTCAGAGCACATGCCTAAGTTGTGGGCTCCATCCCAGGTAGAGGGCTTTCAAAAGGCAGCTGATCAATGATGGATTTTCTCTCGTCATTGGTGTTTCTATCTCTCCCTCTCTGAATTTAATATATATATATATATATATATATATATATATATATATATTTTTTTTTTTTTTTTTTTTTAAAGCATCTCCCTTGATGAGGAATAATAACTGGGCCTCTGTGCACCCCAAACAGAATGTACAATTCCTTTCTCTGCCGAAACTGGTGTGGCTGAGTGGATAGAGCGTTGGTCTGCGGACTAAAAGGTCCCAGGTTTGATTCCGGTCAAAGGCATGTACATTGGTTGAGGGCACATCCCCAATGGGGGGGTGTGAAAGAGGCAGCTGGTCGATGTTTCTCATCGATGTTTCTAGCTCTCTATCCCTCTCCCTTCCTCTCTGTAAAAATCAATAAAATATTTTTTTAATTCCTTTTTCTGCTCTGTCCCTCACCCCACGGGTCAGAACCGTGCACTCACCAAGCCAGGGGGCCTCAGGTTCCCATCATCCAGGTCCTCCACGAAGGACTCCAGGTCTCTGCCACACGCCTCCCACTTCTGCTGCAACACAGCCCTTTCTCCCTGGGCCCTGCTGAGCAGGAACTGCTCCAGCGCCAGGCAGGCAATCATCTCCTGCTTGCTGTTCCTCTCTGGCTTCAGCCAGTCTCTGAAGGCCTGACAGAGGTTCAGAAAATGGTCCCTCCCGGGCACCTGGCCGCCGTTGTTCAATGAGATGAGCCCAGGGCTGGGGACGCTGGCCTCCGCGGCCTCCTGGTCGGCAGATCTTCGGCGGCGGCGAGATCTAAACCCCAGGTTTCCTAACCGAGGGCCGTTGCAGGCCGGTTTGCCTCGAGATGCCATTCTGAGACACAAACAGAAAAGTTCAGATCCAGAGAAACTCATGCCCGAGTTCAACCAGACACTTAAGAAATTCCGAAAAACACACCGAAAGAAAGAAAGAAAGAAAGAAAGAAAGAAAGAAAGAAAGAAAGAAAGAAAGAAAGAAAGAAAGAAAGAAAGAAAGAAAGAGAGAGAGAGAGAAAGAAAGAAAGAAAGAAAGAAAAGGAAGGAAGGAAGGAAGGAAGGAAGGAAGGAAGGAAGGAAGGAAGGAAGGAAATAAGGAAATAAGGAAGGAAGGAAGGAAGGAAGGGAGAGAGAGAAAGAAAGAAAAAGAAAGAAAAGAGAGAAAGAGAGAAAGAGAAAGAGAGAAAGAGAGAAAGAGAGAAAGAGAGAAAGAGAGAAAGAGAGAAAGAGAGAAAGAGAGAAAGAAAGAAAGAAAGAAAGAAAGAAAGAAAGAAAGAAAGAAAGAAAGAAAGAAAGAAGAAAGAAAGAGAGAGAGAAATTCTAATTTTACATAAAACTCTCCTGGAACATGAGAAAATAAAGTGGAGCCCTAGCTAGTTTGGCTCAGTGGATAGAGCGTCAACCTGCGGGTTTAAGGGTCTTGGGTTTGATTCTGGTCGAGGGCACAAACTTCGGTTGTAGGCTACTCCCTGGCCTGGGCCCTGGTCGGGGCTGGTGCAAGAGGCAACCAAAGGATGAGTTTCTCTCACTTCGATGTTTCTCTGTCTTTCCCTCTCTCTTCCACTCTCTCTAAAAGTCAATGAAAAGCCTAACAGTGTGGCTCAGTGGATAGAGCCAGTGGACTGAAAGGTCCCAGGTTAGACTCCGGTCATGGGCACATGCCTTGGTTGCAGGCTGGATCCCCTATGTGGGCGAGCAGGAGGCAGCCAATCCATGATTCTCTCTCATCATGGATGTTTCTCTCTCTCTCTCTCCCTCTCTCTTCCTCTCTGAAATCAATAAAAATATTTTTTAAAATAAAATAAAAGTCAATGAAAAAATATCCTCAGATGAGGATTAACGACAACAACAAAGTGGAAAAAAATAAGACAAGAAAAACATTCTTCTGGTTAAGGCCGTGGTCGGCAAACTGCAACTCGTCAGCCACATGCGGCTCTTTGGTCCCTTGAGTGTTTAGCAAAGGCCAGCTGAGGAGGACCCTCATTAAGTTAACAACAATGTACCTGCCTGCATAGTTTAAGTTTAAAAAATTAGGCTCCCTGCTCAAGCCGGTTCGGCTCAGTGGTAGAGTGTCGGTCTGCAGACTGAAAGGTCCCAGGTTCGATTCCGGTCAAGGGCATGTACATTGGTTGTGGGCAAATCCCCGGTGTGGGGTTTGCAGGGGGCAGCTGGCCGATGTTCCTCTCTCATCGACGTTTCTAGCTCTCTATCTCTCTCCCTTCCTCTCTGTTAAAAATCAATAAAATATTTTTTTTTTTAAAAAAAAAATTAGGCTCCCCAAAGAAATTCCAATTGTTGTACTGTTGCTATTTGGCTCTGTTGACTAATGAGTTTGCTGACCACTGGGTTAAGAAGTTAAGTTCGGTAGCTCCCTCATGACAAAACCTTACCAGTACATTAAAGAAAGCAACTCTGCCCTAGCTGGTTTGGTTCAGTGGATAGAGCATTGGCCTGCAAACTGAAGGGTCCCAGGTTCGATTCTGGTCAAGGGCACATGCCCAGGTTGTGGGCTCAATCCCCAGCGTGAGGACTGCAGGAGGCAGCGGATCAATCATTCTCTCTCATTATGGATGTTTTTATCTCTCTCTCCCTCTTCCTTCCTCTCTGACATCAACAAAATAAAGTAAGAAGCAACTCTACAGGCCAATCTCTGAGGAATGTATGTGTGAGAACCCAAAGCAAATCAAAGGATATTTTTCCATGGACTTTCAGAGAGTGGAAGACAGAAGGAGAGACAGAGAAACATCGATGTGGGAGAGACATATCCATTGGTTGCCTCCTGCACATACCCCTGACCAGGGCCCTGCAACCAAGGTACATGCCCTGGACGGGAATCCAACCCCGGATCCTTCCATCTGCAGACGGATGCTCTAGCCCTTGAGCGAAACAGGACAGGGAAAAAGATGTGTGTTTTGGGGTTTGTTTGTTTTTTTTTTTTTTAGTAAGTGCCATGCCACAAAACCGGGAAATGTGGGTGTGGGTGGTACGAATAGGTGGGCACAGACGAATTGGATCGGTCTGATAGTGGATGCCCTGGAAACTTCCAGGCCTGCCTTCCCCAGCCGTCTCCTCAGGCTGCTAATCTGAGGAGATGCTGGGGAAGGTGGGCCCGGAAGCTTCTTCATCCACAGCCAGAGGCACAGCTGATTTCCCAAAGAAAACCCAAAGCAGAAAATCCTTTCCCTAATCTGTTCATCAGAGCCCCAGGGCCAGCTCTATAAAAGCTAATCTTGCTCCCCTCTGGCCAGGCTGCCTGGCACTAGAGCCCTCTAGTCTCAGGAATTTGCTTGTTATTTTTACTGTGTAAATAAAGCTTCCTGGTTTAATGGAAAAAAAGAAAAGAAAAAAAGCTAATCTACTGTGGACTGGAAGGTCCCAGGTTCGATTCCGGTCAAGGGCATGTACCTTGGTTGTGGGCACATCCCCAATAGGGGGTGTGCAGAAGGCAGCTGATGGATGTTTCTCTCTCATCGATGTTTCTAACTTTCTATACCTCTCTCCTCCTCTCTGTAATAAATCAATAAAATATATATATTTTTTTAAAAAAAAAAAAAGCTAATCTGGCCGGGACCGGTTTGGCTCAATGGATAGAGCGTCGGCTTGGGGACTGAAATCAATAAAATATATTTAAAAAAAAAAAAAAAAAAAAGCTAATCTGTTCAGGACCCACTGCACTTTATTTTTTTAAAATAAATTTTATTGATTTTTTTTTTTTTTTTTTTTTTTTTAATGGAGAGGAAGGGAGAGAGAGGTAGAAACATCGATGAGAGAGAAACATCGACCAGCTGCCTCCTGCTACCCACCACTGGGGATGTGCCTGCAACCAAGGTACATGCCCTTGACCGGAATCAAACCTGGGACAATTCAGTCCGCAGGCCAACGCTCTATCCACTGAGCCATAGTGGTTTCGGGGACCCACTTGACTTTAATCCTTGCATAGATCCCTCTGGCTCTCAGAGAAGGGTCCCTGGTCCTTCCTGGTCTCCCGAGGCCTCCCCTGTCCCACCCCACCCTCACCTGAGGTGTGGTGGCCAGTTCTTGCCTGTATGTGTGTCTGCCTCTCTCCTGTAGGACCCTTGCTCTGACCTCCTCAATCTCCCCACAAGCTCTCCTAGATGACCCCAGACACACACAGGCCACTCGGCCAACTTGCAAACAGACATTCGATCCCACACGGACACTGGGGTGGAGCATTACTATGGGGAAGACCTGGAAGTTTAAAACCAGACCAGGTGCCCGGTGGGCCCGGCTCAGTGGGTCAGTGCCAACCTGTGAACCAGGAGGTCACAGTTCCATTTCCGGTCAGGTCCCATGCCCGGTTGTGGGATCGACCCCCAGCACCCCAGGGCGTGCAGGAGGCAGCTGATCCATGATTCTCTCTCATCATTGAGAATTTCTATCATTCTCTCTCTCTCCCTCTCTCAAATCAATACGAATATATTTAAAATTAAAAATACATACATGAAAAGTCATGTGCAATGAATTTTTTCCTATTTGCCAAAGGAGCATCTGTATGGTTTATTGACCTCCTGGTTCCTAGGTCGATGTTCAACCAGAGAGCCACGCTGGCCAAGACCGGTTTGGCTCAATGGATAGAGCGTCAGCTTGGGGACTGAAAGGTCCCAGGTTCGATTTCGGTCAGGGGCATGTGCCTTGGTTGCGGGCATATCCCCAGTAGGGAGTGTGTAGGAGGCGGCTGATCGATGACTCTCTCATCGATGTTTCTAGCTCTCTATCTCCCTTCCTCTCTTCGAAAAATCAATAAAATATTTTTTAAAAAATGAGTTCCTAGAAACACAAAGAACAAGACACCGGCCACACACACACAGACTTGCCCAGGTGGGGGCCCCTGCAGCCCAGCCAGCTCCTGCCCAGCTGGAGCCACAGCTAGTCCAGACCCTCCGGAGTCTGAGAGACCCCCTGGAAACTCTTTCCTGACAACCAGGCCTACATCCACACGCCTGTGCACACGCTCACACACACAACGGGAACGTTCCTTTCCTTCCCCAAACTCACCTCCTCAGACACAAACCTTCACGCTGGGTGGTCCTGGCCCAAGGCTGAGCTGCTGTGGGGCTTGGCTGTCAGACTGGTGCCTCTGATATGCTTCCCAAGGCTCCTCCCTTTTTGTAGGGAGTGGGGTCCGAGATGAGATTGAAGCCTGTGATTGGATAAACTCAGCTTGAGACCAGTGTCTCCTGGCATCTAAGCTCTGATCCAATAATTCCCAGAACCAAACCACCCCTTCCCCACCCTCCCCACCTGGATGATGGGACCCAAGCTGCCCTCCTCCCTCCTCTGCCAGGAGCTCCCCAAGGGCTCCCCGTGGCCCTGCTGCCTGGACAGTCACCAGGACGGAGGAGAGTCTCCCGCTTGGGGAGGTTCTCACACACAGTGGCCAGCAGCCAGGGAGATGGTTGAATGGGGGAGAGGGGGAGGGGGATAAATAGTCCCTCAGGGGTCGCGGAGGGAGGGGCGGCGGGACTTGATCTTGCTGAGCAGGGCGTAGCTTTGGTTTGTCTAACTGGCATCCTGAGGGCGGAGAAGCCTAGGCCTCCCTCGGGCAGTCCACTACCCGGTTCAGACCCCAAAGCGTCCTTGGCAGGACCCCACCCTTCCCGGGAGCCTGAGCTGAGGCTGAGGGAGGGGAAGGGGTTCTAAAGTCAGAGAGACAGAGAGACAGAGAGAGAAAAGAAAGAGACAGCGAGAGGAAAAAGGAAGGAAGGAGGAAGGAAGGAAGGAAGGAAGGAAGGAAGGAAGGAAGGAAGGAAGGAAGGAAGGAAGGAAGGAAGGAAGGAAGGAAGGAGGGAGGGAGAAAAGAGGGGAGGGAGGGAGGAGAGGAGTGAAGGCAGGAAGGGAGGGAGGGAGGGAGGAAGGAA